TATCTTTTATTGAAAGTTACCTAAGTACTTATTTGCTTATGGAAAGAGTAAAAATCATCTTTGGTTGAAAGATGTAAACCACAATTTTTAATTTTGGCAGTGTTAGCTATTTTCAAATGCAAACCTGAAACCTTTCAAAAAGGGACAGTGGTGGGACAGAGTCATTCAGAGCCATAGATAGTGTTTTGATACTCTTGTATTTGAGCAGCAAAAGGGCTTAAGTTATGGCGTGTTTTCCAGGAGGAGTGCTTCTCTTTGATATGCCTCTTTGTCAAGGAGAAAACCTCCCAAGACAAGGCTGCAGGTAATCTGATGCGTACCTTATGAAGCTTGCTGCTGTCTTCAGAGCTCTCTGCTTTTTCTTGTCTGTCATCCCAGGGAACTTAAAATACTCAATGGTCATCTCTGTGAGTGCTGGCAAGTGGTTGCAGAGGAAACAGTAGTGGTATTGTGCAAGTCAAGACATGCTACTGGTGTGTTTTTGCTGAGTGAAACACAAGTAAGTACATGACTGAATCCTGCTCTGAGGCTGTTGAAGTTACTGGGAATTTTGTCATTGGCTTCTCAGAGGTCAGAACTCTGTAACTCTGATAGAGAACAAGTCATAAAATCTGTGGGCTTCTTTATGGACTGCTTTCCCACAAAATGTGGCAGAAAAATATTTCATCTTTTAACAAAAGTATGAGCCTTATTCATACCTTGTCATCTATGAAAAATTGTGCTAATCTTCAGCTTTACAGCAGCTTTCTCCCGTATAATGATGGGGTAATTTACAAACATTTATAACTCACAGTGTTCCTGATTTTCCCTGTCTTCATTCAAAAAGCGTGAGTGGTATGATCACGCTTGTGGCTGGTGGTTACTATGCCTTGATGCTGGCACATCTCTACTTCCTAACAGCTGTTCTGGTGTTTTTTCTCTAGTTTCCATTTATGCTGTTTTGCTTCATTAAGTAATCTTGATCCTAAACAGCAACTCAAAATTACACTACACCATATTTGTATGTTATTAAATATTTAGAAGATATTATTTATTTTATTTTTTTCTTTTCCAGCTGTCACATCCACTTAGGTGTTTCCGGTGTTTTCTCTTGTCTTTCCTGTAGTCTTCGTTGCCAGCCTAAAAAAGCTGGATGTTGATTTAAACACACTTTTAGTACTGCGAGCAGGATGACCGTCATTTCACTGTAACTTCTGCAGCACAGTTGCTGCTGTGCTATACTTGGATCCCAACTGCTCTGAGTCAAATACCAGAATGCAAAAAATACAACTGTTGGTGTTTCCTAAAGTTAAGTGTAAATCAATAACAGAAAGCTGAAAATACACTGTCGGATTAACTGATGTCCCTTATTACTGGAACAAATTAACCATTAGTCAAGGACAGTGCTTTGCCATTACAGACTTTAGTATTTTCCCTCTAAAGTGGTGATTTTTCTCCGTGAAATGAAAAAGAAAACCAGTAAATGAGCTATTAGACAAGGAATAACACTCTATTTTAAATAACCCCAAATTACCGAAGGCTTTTAGGACAGCTGTTCCCTCCCTTATCCTTTCAGGTATCTCACTGCGTTAGCTGTGTAAGAGGAATTGCCGTCAGTGACTTGGTAGATTACTCATGAGATGTTTGAGTCTAGTTTAACATTTGATAAGAATTAGCAATTGGGATTTTGCCTGAATAAGTATCTACCTATATGCTTGGGATTACCAGTGTCTACTCTAGATGGGACATGTTTCCTACCAATAGAAGTACCAGTCATGCATATGACAAGGGTTTATTTTATTAATTGAAAAGATTTCACTGTAATTTCATGTTTTCAAGTGTTTGCCTTAGAGGCGAGAAGCACTTATATTTTTAGTTTTGCTTAACAGAGATAAAAACAGATTTTTTTATAGAGAAAACAGAAATAAAAGGACTGAAAATAAAAAAAAACCCTATAAATAGGATAAGTATTGGCAAGGATCGTGCCTGTTCACATGTTGAATGAAACTAGCAAGCTATAGAAAGCTAATTTTCCCGTGCGGTAATTATTGTAATGTTTCATTTAAAAATTCAGTCGAAGAGCTAAACATGATAAGATAAAGAGAGATGACCTCTTTTGTGACCGAGTCATAGGAAGATAAAGGATAAAAGTCTATTTTGATGTTCAGAGAATTAGGCAGCAGGTTACACCAACAAGATTTAATTTTCTGGTATGTGCTAAGAGAAGTGGTACAGTATCAAGATGCAGCAAATGGGATTACTTTCTGAAAAAAAATGCGTACTAAGTTCAAAATTATTATTTAAATGATGCATTCAATATGAGGAAAAATGAAGAAAACAGCTGAGCCCGCAGTTATTTTAGAAAATCTTACTGATTTGTTTTGCTATTCCCTTGAATTAGTCAAGGGAATAATGTACGGTCTCACCCCACTTTGCTAAGTGGCAGTTTTCCCTGCACCATAGAGGGCAAAGGACAATGGAGCATCTTCCCTGTAGAATATTTCCCAGCACGTATTTCTTTCTGTATAAGTAGAAATGCTTAAAAGTGGGTACGGTGAAAACAACCCGACCCCCTTTTTTAATATTGCAACTTTCAAACTCAACAGTGAATAGAATTATCATTAATCATATCTTTCAGTGGACAAAATAGGGAAAAAGCTTTCTCAAGGACATATGGTACTTCATGTAGTGGTGACCCGTTTCTTTTTTGTCCCCCAGCGAGTCTAGTTTCTCTCCCCAGGGTGTGTTGTTTTCTTGCCACTCCAGCACGTTCTAAGAACTGAACAGCTTTCTTACAGAGCAAGAATATGGTGTAATGTATTGTGGGTGGTTTGTTTTCTCAGTTTCATATTAAAAACACATGTGAACGTTTATATGGGAAAACACAACTGAAGGCTGCAGTAATGCTCCTATACGAGCAGTTTATGAAGTTTTGGAAGTTAGGAATGCTGTTCTTTGGAGCTGTAGGTGGGATTTCTTCTGAGTACCCACACTGCTCCTGCGCTTGCTCTTCTCACCTTGGTGCCCTGGATTATCCTTTCCACTCACCTTATTGCTCCTACTCATTGCAGCTTCTCTAAAAATGAGCAGAAGTCCTGCTTCAAAGACTCAGCCAGAGAGACCACTTCTGAATGTTTTCAATCCTGGTATTTATAGAATGCTCACTATTATTACGTTAGCTTTTGCTAGCAGTTCACCAGCACACCAGAATTGTGTTGTCTACCCTAACTCTTGCTCCTCGGGCTTGTAGTATAAAGATGATTTATGTTCTGAAACATTCTTTCTGTTATACCTGTGACTTTTGAGCATCATTGGTCCATTTTACCATACAGTGTGCTTTTCTTCGCCTGCTTCTGTCACGCTACATTCAGAGGGTCAGTGAACCACGATTTCATGTTGAGACTCATGACCTGTAATACTGCATTTGAAGTCAGGCCGAGGTACCACGCATACCCTAATTCTTTACATTTAATTTTTCATCTGATTTTTTTTTTTTTCATCAGATAAAAATAGTGATTGCCAATTTGGTGGCTTTGGTTATTTCCACCTTGAATTCCAGTAGTTGGATGGGTGGATAGGTAGACTGGTTATTTCAAGGTATTAGAACATTTACAGTTACTTCTTCATGTGCAAGGATTTTGTATTATTTTTTTTTTTAACTGCTGGATATGTTTCTAAGTAAGAAATTAATACCTCTGTTGTGCTAGAACTTGTTTCACTCAAAAGAGGAAAGTTCTGGGAGAGTGTAAAACACAGTTCTTGGCAAATTCTAAAAAGAACTTCTGAAAACTTACGGGGCCAGATTTTTATATTTGTGGAATATCACATTCACAGCCATCTGTAGTTCATATTTGGGTTTATATCCAGAAAAATGTGAAAGAATTCTGTACTGAATTGTAGGCTTATGTAAGCTGTTAATGACATGGATCTGTTACTCACCGCTATCACATATCTCTTGTAATGATTTTCTTGTAATAACCCATGACAGCCATAAAATTCTGGAATGAGATCTGGGCATAGGAGTAAAACCTGCAATAAGTTCTCTTACTCACATTCAAGACAGTCTGAAATATAGCTTTTTTTCTGCCTGACCTGGCCATAAACTGTTCTGTTTTGCAAAAAACTGGTGTGCCTCTCAAGAGGCACAAAGACGGAGACCTTCCTTCATGTAAAGTCCCTGAGTACTTTATTCCAATTAAACCTTTGTGACTGAGCATTCTGAGTGTATGGGAAGCAAATAAATGCCTCTGGATGCTCATTTTTGTTCTTTTAGCTAAAAAGAATCTTCCAAGTGCACAATAAAAGCAAACATTATGCTGTTTATATACTAAATCTTAAAATTTCGTGTTTCCTGGAAGGACTTACCTTCCTTAAGGGAAGCACAAACTTCCCTTAAAACAGACATTATTCCTTAAGGTCGGGAGGAACCTTATCATTTCAGTCGTCCAACCAAAGTCAGAGTTGACTACATGGCATATTGAAAATAATGTGTTTCTGAAGAAGCAGCATCTGTTTTTTGTTTAGTTTTTTTTTTTTTTTTAAATGGGATGTCCTTCACAGTCTAAGCAAGCTTTAAATGCACCTAATTTTAAAGGCAACCAGACTGTGTACCCTGCAACAGAATTCCTGAGTTGGTCCTCTGAGTTTCTCAGAGGTCTGAGAAAAAGTGAGAGCTACAAGTGAAAACTGAAGTATGGTGGTAATGCCTTACCTTTCTAGGTGGCACTTCAGAAGTCTTAAAGCAAGTATTTGGGGACAGCAGGCCAGTCAAGTTGTGGCTCCTAGAAAATATTGATGCCTCAGAACTGAACTTGAACTGTTTCAGCATTTTCATACAGAAAGATTAGGGCCCTTCATTTATGCTTATATACAGAAGATCACATTTCTCTGGAAAGAGAAGTATTTCTCTGCTTCTTAAACAAATTTGTTACGGTATGCTCACTCTGACATCCAGAATACAGTATATGGTGCCAGTTAAAATAGCAATCGTAAAACAATGTCTTCTTTCCTTACATGTTTAGGAAAATATCTCCAACTTTGATATCGTCATGGAGTCTGATGAGGGCACCTTCAAGCCATCTGGACTGGGTTTTACTGGCAATGCTAAAGCTCGGGACATCGTGAAAGAGATCATGTCTCTGCTGCAGCCCATCAATGTTACGGATGTTTACGACAACGCAGATGGAACGGACATCGATTACTGGATGAGAGACGGGGTGCCTGGTGAGCGTGCTTTACAGCTGACACTGCTCCTTCTGCGCAGTGGCACCTTGGATGGCTTTGATGTTTTGAAAATAGTAAGAAATGCTTTCTCTTGAGGAGGAAAATTTACCATAGGTAAAATGCAGAAATGAAAAAAGGTGGCCAACAGAAATAGGACATAAAGTGCATTTGAGCTGCAGTTTAATAATGGTATAGATTATACGTAGCATAACATGCCTAAAATCTTCTTTTCGGCTTTAAGGATTTATAATAATTAATCCCAGACTGGTGGTTTATAAATAGTAAACTAAGGCAGAAGGGAATTCTCCAATGCAGAACAAATAATTTATTATTATTATTATTATTTCGACTTTGAAATACAGGACTTTTTCTCCCTATTTTATATGCTGAAGAAACAATGTTTTGGAGACGTGATATTTAAGAAGTTAAGGGGCATTAAGGTGTGATAAAGGGGTAGCACTCTGCAAAGTTTAAACTGGTTTAAGGGTTCGTTTGGGGTATTGTATCTGGCTCACAGTGAGGAGCAGCTTGTTGGCAAAGAGGCTTGCAAGCTGTGAGAGAGATCCACCGCGGGCAGCCCCCCTGCGCAGGAGACCCCACACCAGCACAGGGGCTTGCAGAGCACGAGTCCCAATTAGAGGCCAGCCTGGGTGAAGTCTTAGTGAATTTCCATGGTAGTTTCCACACTTGAATAATGGTAGAAAGAAAAAAGTTTCATAACACATATATTTAAAAAATTATGACTGGTTTTAAAATTTTAAGGTTCTTTTTCTCTGGTGTTTTATGACTGAAGTAGGTTGGCACATTTCTCATGCTAGTTTTACTCATAACGACTATATGCTTAGAATCTATTAATGTTTGATTAACTGCTTTGTTTTTCACCTGGACTTGTGGAAGACGCAGGGGGTCATGGAATATACGGTGCTTATTTATGGTCAGAACCCTTAGCTTCTCACTCATGTGGGGTGTACAAAGATATCATAAAGTTGACAGCCTTGAAAAATGTATGGATATCTAATTTTCAAAGCAACATATCTATACTCGGCAAAAAGTATGGATGAAGGGATATTGTTAAACAGCTCGGGATTCATCTTCAGCTGATGTGCTGCTTTTCAGGTAAAGTGCAAGCTGTTCAGTGCAATGTCATACAGCCGTGACACTGATGTGTGCTTGGGTTCCTGGGCTCTGTAAGCCTCTGTAAGATGCCTCTGCACCTTACATGAGCGTTAGCACCATGTGCTGAGCTGAGTTGAGAGACTGTAAGCACTGCTGAGAGGCTGTAGCCATGCATCGTCCTCCACAGCCTATAAGTGCCCGTGCAAAGGCGCCTGGTCCAGGATTTCAGAACAACATGTCTGTGCTGTAGTTGGAATATGAGAACTCACCATACAGCCTGTGTTTAGAAAATGCAGGTGTGTCGGAATGGTTTCCTAGGTAAGGTGTTGGGGACAGAACGTGGAGGGCATTACAGTCAGTCATCGGGAACTTCCATTGTGCTTCCTGTCTGAGGGCGACAGGTTATGGAAGGAGAGAGCATTTAGTATTCAAATGCTTTTTTTTCAGTTGATAACGTGAGTGGTGCTTGTGATGACAGTGTGTTTTGAGCTCTTGTGCATGACTTTTCATCAGCTGAGGTGCACCTGAGACATGAACAGCTACAGCTTGCCATGGTCGTCCTCTTGATTAGTCACCTGGGCTACACGAGTAAAGTACACTCAGCAGGAGCAGGGCAGAAACAGGAGCTATCTCCCATGGTCACCCATACTCCTTAGAAAGCACAAACTATGAAGAATATCATAACCTATAAGCTCAACCTTGGCAAAATAGAAATACACCCAAACTGAGACCTCAGATTTAAAATAAGTCTGATTTGCTTTCCTATTAAAAATTTGGCACATTAATTGATGGTGGATTTTTTTACTGTCTGAAGCTTTGATTCATTTAACTTCCTGTTAAGCAAATAACAAAGTGTTCTTGCAGCATAAAGGAACAGTGATTCTTTTTTTCCCCATTGAGTCCATGGTGGGAAGGAATTAGCTCCACTAAAAGAATTTTGGCTGCTTTAGATTGTATTTCATACTGTACCAGGGAGAAGTCTAAGACATCTTGTAATCTTCACGCCTTGTCTGCAGTATTCTCACTGCTCGAATGAGCCCTTATGGTATATAATAACATTGGAACAAATTGAACACACTGTAGCAGCTTTTATAATTTTGTCCAATTTAAACAAGCAGTCAAGTGTTGACACTTCATCAATTTTATTTAAATATTTTCTTGAAAATACCCTTGGTGGCTTTGTTTCTGCAACAGTGAGAGAAAATATTGTGTACTTCTTGAACAATCACAATGGTTTCTGACATAATTTCTCTAGAATTTTTCTCCTTTTTGGTGTTAAATAGATTCTGGGATTCACCTTTTTAGATGCTATTAAAATTCTGCACCTCCTGCTCATTTTGATCTGAAAGATCTGCAGAGGGCAACAGTACGTGGGTTTTTCAGAGCTGTTCGTAGCTGCTCCTGAGACGGGTGAAGTGACTCTGACTCCTTCCTCTCCGCTGTTTCTGGCATGTTTATTTTTAATGGGCATGCAATGAAATGTTATTTGTAATGTTGCTTAAAAGTATTTGCAAGACAACAGCAGTGACTATTCTGAGATTTTAGGATGAGAAGCCAGGAAAGTTCAGAGTGCTTTGCAAACTGTAGACTGAAGCTTAACTCATACCTCTAAAACACAAGCAAGGTGATCCCCACCAACCACGGCAGTTTAATGCTTTGTAACTGTGGAGTATTAGACGTATTCCCGTCAGTGGCCTTTACACTGGATTATTTTGAGAACAGTTCAGCCCAGCAATGAGGAGTGTCTGTAGCTATGTTTTTCTAGTGATAGCCAGTTTTCAGCTACTGAAAATATTTGTATAACGTTTGTTTTGCTTTTTCATGAAGCATAAATCAAATGAAATGGGGTTTTTGTGGTGTCGTATTTTATGCTGTGGTTTTACAGTTTGAGGTGACTGTTCGTCCTAAGACTGTGCCTTTGTTAATTATGCAATTATCTTCCTCAGCTTTCTTTTTAAGGGTTCAGTTATGTATTTGTTTTTGGTTAGGGATACATCTAAACTGTGGCACATAAAGCTGTTCCTTTCCAATACTGAGTCCTAATCAAGTTTGGCCAGAATTTGCAAATATGGGTGGGGAGACAGGTTGGTTGGGTTTATTTGTTTGGTTTCTTTGCATGCTTTTTCACAACAGGCTCCTTCAATGTCTGAAAGGGTTAAAAAACCATTAAGCAAGCCCTGCTAGACCATTGCTCAGGTATTTTTGTTGAAAAAGCCAGGTATCTGATGATCACAAGGATGCATTGAACATGATCTTGACCAGTTCCTAAGGTAATATCACTGGGGCTGAGTCAGCCTTCCCTTCAAACCTTCAGAAAATGAGGAGGGAGTGAAGTGATTGTATTTGTATTATGGTATCCAGTGAGCATTAGTTCAGCTTTAGGTGTTAGGGGAGAGGAAAATGGGTGCTCTCCTGTTTTCTCAGAGGGCAGGCTGTTGTGACACAGTGTATTTCCAGGAGAGCCGGTACAAGGACGCTCCTTTCTGCCAGGCTCCGCAGGGAGGTTATCTCTTACTGCAGTGCTTATGATGGGAACACTTGTCTGTTAGGAACTGAGCTGTATTTGAGATCGGGCTGACCCAGGACATCAAACAACTCCCAAAAGGCATGTGGCAACTCCTCTATTTAAAATTCAACCAGTGACCTAAAGGTGAAACTCCTTTGTACAATGTCACTCTGAACCTTGATAGTTGTTCATCTCTCTCTCTGTCTCCACAGTGATGGTGTCTTGCTTTTTTGTTACGTTACACAAGAGGAGGAATTATTCTTCCAGAAACTAATAAACCAGTAGTTCACCTAACCTTAATGTTTCTTCAGAAATCAAAAATTCATTGCTAATCCGATCTATTATTCATTTTCTTGGAGGTGGCAAACAAATACTATCATATATCATTTCTCTCATTTTTATATTTTTGTAGTGCTTCTTTAGTACCTTTGTCTAAAATAAGATGTATTTTGGCCCTTAGACACTGGACTTTGGCATGTATGGTTTCCTTTCTTATTACATAAGAGGTCAAATCCTTCAGTTCCACCTCTTTTCTGGAGCACGCTGCCCACCCATCCCCCCTGTCCCCATCATCCCTTGTAGCACCAAACTCCAGTGCGAGCCTGCTGGCATGCTTGAGCCAAGCCTGCTCCTCTGCTCGGTGTCAGCCAGGGGCATGTTTGAGAAAGTGGTGTAATGGGAAAACTCCCTGACTTGAGGTGTCCAGGCGTGAAAATTTGGGCAAACTCTATTTCCCAAATTATAAGTAGGTAAACTCCATTCACTCTTGGCTACATCACTGTTTGAAAGTGATACCCCACTGTGATGTATAAAGCATCGCCCCTCAGCATGCCTGCTTCATACTCTCTGCAGGCTTGGACAGACTCTTTGAATCCGGTTTCTCAGCTTCTTTTTATTGCCAAAAGAATAAAAACTGTAAGGAAAAAAAGGAAAAATCAGATTCACATAGTCTAGGACTTCACAGGCTGATGCTGAAAAGCTTGGCTTGATTGTGCACAGGTAAGGGATGTTTCACTTGATGAAGACCTTCCTAAAAGATGAGGAAAAGAGAAAAAGGTTTCCTTAAAAATAGACATTAAACTTAACTTCCTCACTTGAATATATAACATTTGTGTGATTTGTGATCTGAGATGTTTAGCATAGGGTATCACATGGTCAAATAACTGGTCACAGTTATTTGACCAAGTGACTAACACAAGTGAAATGTCTCCTGCTTGCTCATGCAGCAAAAAGTTGGACGAAACTCCTAAAAACTACTCAAAAACCTAGCTTCATGTGTAGTATTACGAGTACTGACATAATTTGAGTTACTCTACATTTGCTATGTCTTGTACTTGCTGAGTTTCCACTGCTCTGGACATGTGTTGAAGTACACCAC